TTATATTATTATGTGTAATTTTGTGAAATAATATAATTATTATGAATTTAGGGGTCAAAGTATAAATAAATAATAATAATAATAATGAGTGTGGTAGTAAAATAAATAATTAATTTTTTGTTAATATAAAATAAAGTGTAATTTAATTATGAATTAAATTATTTATATAATTATATTAAAAATTTGGGTCAAAGTGTAATTATCTTAATTATTTCTTAAGATAAATATGAATCTACGAGTGAATCAGAAAGAATCTGGGGAGTATTTGAATCGGCCACGTGTTAGCTGATGAGTGGTCTCATCTCCCTATTTATAGGGAGAGTTGATCAACCTGTGAAAGAAAGAAACGAAGAGAAGAAAAGAAAAGAAAAGAAAGAAGAGAGAAAGAAGGAAAAAGAAGGGAGAAAGAAGTAAAAGAAAAGGAAAAAGAAAATAATGGAAGTCGAAAGGATTTTTGATAGTAGAAAGAAAAAGTGAGGTATTAAAATTAAGGTGAGTTATATTATATTTTGAATTATTATAATATATTTTATGTATGTTTTGATTTACCATATTTATATTATACAAGTTATATTTTATAAATTATTATAAAAGGAGGTGATCTGTGCGGAGAGAAAGAAAGGAAAGAAGAAATGAAAGAGAAAGAGAGGAAGAAAAGGGGAACGAAAGGAAAAATTAATAAAAGTTGAGAGGGTCTTTAGTAGTAAAAAAAAAGAGTGAGGTATTGAAGTTAAGGTAAGTTATATTATACCTTGAGTTATCATAATATATTTTACGTATGTTTTGACTTAACATATTTATTTTATATAAGTTATGTTTTATAAATTATTATAAATTATATTATTATTTCAGTTACGTGGATTATTTTCTGAATCCTATTTGTTAAAAGGAAATTCATGAATATGTTTGTTTTATATTTTAAGAATATTTGACTATAACCTTATAAACAATTATATTTTGTAAATATCATCATGAGAGTCTCGTGCCATGGGAGACTTAAATAATCATTGGCCTTTGTTTGACCACTTTGTGGTCTTCTGTTTGTCATGGATCCATTGACCTCTATTCTGTGCGGAGCAAAGTGCTGTGCGGAGATAAGTACTACACTATTGTGAGAGCCACCTCTATAATCCGTACGATCTACCTCTTGAATCCGTACCTTTGTTCTGACTGTCATTTCTGTGACCTCTGTTCTGTTCTGTTCTGTTCTGTTCTGTACCGTGGTTATGATTATTTATTTATGTAATTTCTGTATTTCAGTTACTAGCACTTAAATAATTTGTTTAACAACGATTTATTTACCAAACTGAGTTATGTAAATGTTTTGGCATAACTAACTATCCATGGTTATTTCGTGTCCCTTATACTCTTGGTATAATATCTCTCACTATGCCATGTGTTTATAACTGTTTACCAATTTTCAAAAAACAATACAATTCAGAAATAGCTTTTGAAAAGTCTTAGATGCGGGGGTGCGGAATAGACACACACAACACTTTTATGATATTTTTTATATGTAAATATCGGTCTTTTTAGTTAATAAATTTTGTAATAAAAATAGAAATTCTAATGATTATTTTCGTACCCTCATTTAAATATTACTTCCGCTCGCGTATATTGATTTGTTTAAGAATTGGCAGGAGATAACCTCAGTTACTGGCCATCACGATGCTTAACCCTTGGGTATAGAGAGCGGGTCGTGACAAATGGTATCAGAGTAATGGTTTATAAAAAAAATTAAAAAAAAAAATCATCATTGGGGCATAGGACACAAAGAATTGGCAGGAGATAACCTCAGTTACTGGCCATCACGATGCTTAACCCTTGGGTATAGAGAGCGGGTCGTGACAAATGGTATCAGAGTAATGGTTTATAAAAAAAATTAAAAAAAAAATCATCATTGGGGCATAGGACACACCCACATTTAAGAAGTAGGATAACAGGTAATTAGTCCCTAAATATTATATTTTGTTAGTGGATTTAATTATATTATAATTTTATATGATTATATATATATATATATATATATATTGTGCATAATTGGTAAAAGATATTAGATATAATTTATATTTGTTATAGCAAAAAAAGAAAAAGAAGTAGAGGGTATTGGGCTCGAGTACCCACCAAAATTATAATATAATTAAATATATATAATTTTCAGTTCAGTATTTTGATTTTTAAAAATGGGTTCAAATTATAAAGATACTAATTTTGAAACTATCAATGAAAAATTCATCTCAAATTTTTTTGAACTTTTGTATATGGTTCTGTCATTGTGTTCTCATTTATTTTTATCATAAACAAAACGAATGAAAAGTTTTTTAAAGTCACCGATTGTTTCTCATTTTGGTCCAAAATAATTTTTGACAACTAAACAGTGAGTTAGTTTTGGTAAAAAAAAAAAATTTTGAGTTAATATTTTCTATCAAATTAATCATCCAATATATATTTATCAGAGTGCGCAGCGGATAGCTTACATGTTTCAAATTTCGAGGATGAAATTTTAAAAGGAGGGAAGATTGTAACAATCTATATTTTTAATTATTTTGTAAAATTTATACTAATATTATTTAATTACAGTTAGAAAAATATATGATTTATTTTGTAAAATTATTTGTAATTTTGTGAAATAATATAATTATTATGAATTTAGGGGTCAAAGTATAAATAATAATAATAATAATACTAACAATAATAATAATAATAATAAGTGTGATAGTAAAATAAATAATTAATTTTTTGTTAGTATAAAATAGAGTGTAATTTAATTAGAAATTACTTAGGAGTTGTTTGGGATGACCTAAATAAGTGCACTTTTTATCTTTTTATGAAAAGATGTACAGAAAAATAGAGAGGTGATATGATAAAAAAAAGATAAAAAGATAGATTATTTTGATGTTATCAAACTTGACCTTAATTTATATACTTATATTAAAAATTAAGACAAAATATAATAATTTTAAATACATATATTGAAGATAAGAATGAAACTTTATAATTTATTAATCAAATCTGTTGATGATATGCGGGTCACGCTCGTCTTCCCTATTTAAGGAGGTGATCTGTGCGGAGAGAGAAAGCAAAGAAAGAAAAAAAGAGAGAAAGAAAGGAAAGAAAGAGAGGAAGAAAAGGGAACGAAAAGAAGGAAAAATTAATTATTATGTTTGGTTTGAATTTTTTGGATTAAGTTTTTTGAAAATTAAATTTTTTGATTTTCGTATTTTTTTGTTTTTAGTGAATATTTTTAAAATTTTAAATAATTTTTTTACTTTTTTAGATGCACCTTACTTAGATGTGTCTAAAAAGTAAAAAAATTGTGAAAAAATATTTTAAAAAATTAAGAAATACATAAAAATACAAAAAAAATGTACTAAATTCTTGTATTTTTTTGTATTTTTGGTATTTAGTGAATTTTTAAAAGATTTTTTTTACAATTTTTTTACTTTTTAGGTGTATTTATGTTAGGTGTGTCTAAAAAGTAAAAAATTTGCATAAAATATTAAAAAAATTCAGTAAAAACAAAAAAACACAGAAAATAAGAGTGTAGAATTTTCTGAAAACTGTTTTTAAAAAATGGAAACCAAGCAAAGTGAATGGAAGTTGAGAGAGTTTTTAGTAGTAGTAGTAGAAAAAAAGAGTGAGGTATTAAAGTTAAGGTGAGTTATATTATACTTTAAGTCACCATAATATATTTTACGTATATTTTGACTTACCATATTTATTTTTATACAAGTTATGTTTTATAAATTATTATAAACTATATTATTATTTTAGTTGCGTGGATTATTTTTTGAATCCTATTTGTTAAAAGGAAACCTATGTATATGTTTGTTTTATATTTTAAGAATATTTGACTATGACTTTATAAACAATTATATTTTGTAAGTACTACCATGGGAGTCTCATACCTTGGGAGACTTAAATAACCATTGGCCTCTGTTTGGCCACTTTGTGGTCCTCTATTTGTCATGGATCCATTGACCTCAGTTCTGTGCGGAGCAAAGTGCTGTGCGGAGATAAGTGCTACAGTATTGTGAGAGTCACCTCTATAATCCGTGCGAGCCACCTCTTGAATCCGTACCTTTGTTCTGACTGTCATTCTTGTGACCTCTGTTCTGTTCTGTACCGTGATTATGATTATTTATTTATGTAATTTTTGTATTTCAGTTTCTGTCACTTAAATAATTTGTTTACCAATGATTTATTTACCAAACTGGTAAATGTTTTGGCCTAACTAACCATTCATGGTTATTTCGTGTCCCTTATACACTTGGTATAATCTCTCACTATGCCATGTGTTTATAATTGTTTACCAATTTTCAAAAAACAATGCAATTCAGAAATAACTTTTGGAAAGTCTTAGATGCGGGGGTGCAGAATAGACACACACAACACTTTTATAATATTTTTTATATGTAAATATCGGTTTTTTTGATTAATACATTTTGTAATAAAAATAGAAACTCCAATAATTATTTTGGTACCCTCATTTAAATATTACTTCTGCTCACGTTTATTGATTTGTTTAAGAATTGGTCGGAGGTAACCTCAGTTACTGGCCATCACGATACTTAACCCTTGGATACGCGGAGCGGGTCGTGACATATGTAGTTTCAATTTGCTCGATTTTGCCTTTAATTTAACGGATTGTCTCATTTTAGTCCAATAAATAACGGTTGTTAAATTAATTTAACGGAATGTCAAATAATGTGTCAATTTGGTCTTTATATTTTACACGATGTGTCAATTTGGTCTCTGTACTTTCAATTTTCTCGATTTTGACAGGGACTAAATTGATACATTGTGAAAAATACAGGGACTAAATTGATACATTGTTTGACTTTCTGTTAAATTAACTTAACAACTGTTATTTATTGAATTAAAATGACACAATTCATTAAATTAATAAACAAAATCAAATAAATTAAAATTACAAGGATCAAACGGGCACATCTATAAAATCCATGATTATTTACATAATTCTCCCATTAAAATTCCAAGTAAAAGTGGGTAGTGTTGTCTGCTTTCTCTGCTCTTCCACTTCATATAGGAGAGGTAAAAGAGGAAGTGATCGGTTCCAAACATGGAGTCCATGCCTAAGTGGTCGTCGTCGTCGTCATCATGCAAGGCCAGAGATGAAACCCTACACATAGTCATGTTCCCATGGTTAGCCTTTGGTCATATGCTTCCATTCTTAGAGCTCTCCAAGCTCATAGCCCAAAATGGTCACAGAGTCTCTTTAATATCCACTCCTAGAAACATCCACAGACTCCCCAAACTGCCTCCAAATCTATCCCCTCTCATCAATTTAGTGAAACTCCAACTACCCAAAGTCGACCAACTCCCCCAAAACGCAGAGTCCACACTCGATCTTCCCCACCACAAAGTCAAGTACCTCATGAAGGCCTACGATCAACTCCAACAACCCATGTCTCAGATTCTCTCAGATTTATCTCCCCATTGGGTAATTTATGATTTCGCTCCATATTGGTTCGGCCCTCTTGCCTCCAAACTCGGCATCTCCAGAGTCTTCTTCAGTGTCTGCGTTGCCCCTGCGTTGTGCTTTCTGGGTCCTGTACCAGTGTTAAAGCGCACGAGTGGTGAAGACGATCGCACAACACCAGAGGACTTCACTGCTAAACCCAAATGGATCCCATTTGAATCAAAAATCGGGTTTAAGCTCTTTGAGATTAAGTCTTTCTTCAACGACACATCCACCAATTATGCAAACGTCCCGATTACATTTCGCTTCGGAGCGGGGATTGAAGCTTGTGATGTATTGGCTGTGAGAAGCTCTTACGAGTTCGAACCCGAATGGTTGAAACTCATGGAAGAGGTTCACATGAAACCCGTTATACCAATCGGCCAATTGCCCTCTAGTGCGTATGATGATAGTTTCGATGAAACGTGGTATACAATGAAAGAGTCAAAGTGGCTTGACAAGCAGTCTAATAAGTCCGTGGTCTATGTTGCATTCGGAGGCGATACAAAGCCAAGTCAAACCCAACTTACAGAGATAGCTTTTGGGTTAGAACTATCCGAGTTGTCATTTTTTTGGGTTTTGAGGAATCGGCGTGGTGTGGATGACACTGAGGTGACCGAGTTACCAGATGGGTTCGAGGAGAGAACCAAGGAACGAGGAGTGGTTTACACTAATTGGGCGCCTCAACTCAAGATACTGAGTCATGACTCGGTTGGTGGGTTTTTGTCTCACTCTGGGTTGAGTTCGGTGGTTGAGGCTTTACAGTTCGGGAAGTCTCTCATTTTGTTGCCTTTCATGGCGGACACGGGGTTGATCGCTAGGCATTTGGAGGAGAAGAAGATGGCATGTTTGGTACCCAGAGACGAGCGAGACGGGTCGTTCACAAGAAACTCGGTGGCTGACTCACTGAGATTAGTCATGGTTGAGGAAGAAGGGAGGATATACAGGGACAAGGCTAAAGAGATGAGTGGGTTGTTTGGTAACAGGGCTATACAAGACAAATACGTGAATAATTTTGTGGATTACCTGAAGAAGCATAGACCAGAGCTAGCTCAAGAGGAATAAACAAAAATCCACTGTTATGTTATGTTATGTTATGTTATGTCCCAGATTTCTGAGTCCAGAATTTGCTGGGAAAGAAGTTTGTGTGGTATGTGTTTACGTTTGAAATGAATATAAGTTATAAATTAATGTTTCACAATAAAATTTAGAATAAAGTTTCAGGAATTGCAGTTTTATTGAAGGAATAGATGAAGTTATGATTGGTGTGTAATTTGTACTCAGTTTTTTTTCTATTTACTGAAAAAAAAAAATGTAATAAGAGAATAAAAAGTGAATGTCCCAGATTTCTGAGTCCAGAATTTGCTGGGTAAGAAGTTTGTGTGGTATGTGTTTACGTTTGAAATGAATATAAGTTATAAATTAATGTTTCACAATAAAATTTAGAATAAAGTTTCAGGAATTGCAGTATTATTGAAGGAATAGATGAAGTTATGATTGGTGTGTAATTTGTACTCAGTTTTTTTTCTATTTACTGAAAAAAAAAATGTAATAAGAGAATAAAAAGTGAACTATTCAGAATTTTAGTGAGAACTTCATTATATAGTGTATATTTGATTTGGGTGCATACCATATGTATATTTGATTTGATTTGGGAAAGTGCTTAGGTGTAAGGTGCATATTATATGTACTTACGGAAGTTCTTACAAATATACATAAGTTATCTCATAAAATTGTATAAATTCTCACAAATATACGTAAGTTGTGATTTTTTAATTTTTATGAATTAATTTACGTATGTTTGTAAAAATTTATGCATTTTTGTAAAGTAATTTACATATATTTGTGAGAAATTACGTAAATGCATATATGCATTTGCATAACAATTACTCATTTGATTTTGGTAATCAATATATTTACTTTAAAACCAATGTGAAGTCTAGTGGGCCCATTTCATAGATTTTGCTCTTGTAATAAGGAAATGATATACAATCTCACTTTTTAGATTCATTTTCTAGACTTAATGATATGTAAGTAAAATGATTGATTGATGATATGAGAGAATATTACTTTTAATATCCTAATTGATTGTCACACATTACTGAGTTTGAAAATTAAGTCAATTTTTTTAATTATTTTGAATAGCAATGCTGTTATAACAAACCCTGTGTATTGAAGCGTACAAAACCGAGATATGATTTGTGCCAAATAGCAATGTAATGTTCATCTTGACACCACATTTAAACAATTTGGAAAGTGAATTTCCTCACACCCCTTTCCAAAATGCAACTCTTCAAATCAATGTAATCGTAAGAGACATCACAATCTCACTCAAATTAACAACCTTCAATGAATCTGCAAGTTGAGAGCTTATATTTTGGTCTTAGAATGGATTATTTGTAATTTTGTGTATTAAAATTCCCTAGGGTTCTCTCTCTAGAGTTGAAAGCTTCTCTTTCTAGAGATTTTTTATAACTTTTCACAGCAATGGGTTTTCATGACGTGTTTTGCCATTTTCGTAGAGATGACCACGAGGGTTGAAACAGAGCCAAGTCGAAGGGACATGAGAAGACCATGTTCTTGAGCTAGTTGGTATAGGTAACTGTGTGGTGCTGATGAGTTAAAGATGATTTGGTGTAAGTTTCCGATGAAGGGAAGTCCTGGAGGACCTGGTGGCAGACAAGGTGTTTGTCCATTGTTGTTTTGTGTTTGATGAAGAAGAAATAATAGTAGAATTGGAAGAGCTAGAAGGAAAAGAAGAAGAATTGACGTGGTTAGTTGAGTTGTTGCAAGTGTTTGCTAGATATGGTAAGGATGTGAGAAAGATAGTCTTTTTACAAACCTCTTCCAAGATCCATGCATGGAAAATGGAAAAAAACTATTCAATTTCGCATTGCCACCCAAAACTGAGGACAAATTGTTTGGGCGGACAAAAATGTTATGACTATTAGATTATTTTTTTTATTTTAAATTATTGATGATTTATATATTGAAATGTAAAAAAATAAACGAAATATATTATAAAAGTGGGACTCGTGATAGGCCTCACAATCGAGACTGGATGATACAGTCTACTTTAGTATACATTAGATTTGAGAGGAACTGAGTTTTAAAACTAAATCTCAATAGCACATTAATTTTTTGGATATATTTTTAATTCTGTGCACATATATTTAGGCCTCATTTGGGAACACGTTATTTTAGTAATTTTTTGGCTTTTTGGCTAAAATATGAGGTAAAAAAAAAACTAGTATGTTTTGAATAACTTTTTGATTTTTTACGAAAAGATGTGCAAACTCTTTGAAAAATCCTTTTAAACCTCTTATTTAGAGGTTTGGAGTTGAAGAAAATTGGAGGAGAGGGAAGAAACCTAGTTAGCGAAGAAGTTGGGCATAAACCGTTAAGAGAGAACGGGGCAGCCTTCACTAAATCAGGTCTATCATTTTGTACACTTGGACTTAAGTTGTGAGGCCACCACCATTGGAAAGTGGACTTTCGGGGCTTCATTTTACACTCAAGAATCTTCTAAAGCCGAGTTCGGATGAGGGAGATATGGCTGGTTGAAGTTAGGCATCCATTCGATTAAGCCAAAACTGAGCAACCTTCACTAAAATAGGCATATCTCTTAGAAAACTTAGAATTCTGATATGAGGCCACTTCTATTGGAAAGTAGACTTTCGGGGCTTCAACTTAGGCTCAAGAATGACCTGCAAAGGAGTCCGGATGAAGGAGATATGCCTATTTGAAATCGAGCCTAAAAGCATATTTTTGATGCCCGACAATGCTTGACGGCCAATGGTGAAAAAAGGTAGATATTTTGTGCCAGCTGTCCCCCAAAAGCTCCAGCTGCCCGGGGCTTGATATTTTCGACCTAAGGGGCTGTTTTTCTATATATATAAGGCCTCTCTTCTTGCTTTCAAGGTTAGAAAACATTTAGGAGTGAAATATTTTTGAAAAAATCCTCTCTCTCTACAATCTCTCTCTCTCTACAATTCTCTCTCTCTCTTTTGCAAATTGCATAGCCTATTCCTAAACACACCAAAGAAAACCTAGAGAGCTTCTTGCTGAGGTGATTTGAGCTTGGATTTCAGCTCTTAAAGCACTTGAGAGCGTGGAAATTGGTGGTTTATGGCTTAAGGGTTCACTTCTCTCTAAGTGGTATACTTTCTTTTGCCTTTATACCATCTTTACACCATTTGTTTTCCATCTTTTCTTACTGTTTTTAAGCTTTTTAAAACCTATTTTTATGGGCTGAAGCTTGTGGTTTAAGGCTCTTAAAGGTAGAGGGGTTAATCACCCTTCTTTAAACCTTGCTCTCTAAGACTTTCCACTTGTGTTTTCCATTCTTTCATCAACTTTTTTTTAGCTTTTTGCCACTGATTTTCAGAGGTTTTCAGAGGCTAAAAAAGTGATTTTGAAGTCCCAAAAATGGAGGGATTAACCACCCCTCATTTGGCTTGTTTACTAGCTTAAATTGCGATGTTTTAACTTATCATGTTAGGTACTTTTTGTCTTCATTCCAGCATGTTTGCCACCTGAGTTTGGGCTATAAAAAACTCTGTGTTTTTGGGCTAAAGCTTATGGTTTAAGGCCATTAAAGGTTGAGGGGTTGATAACCCTTCTTTGTACCTTGTTTTGGAGGCCTTTGCCCTTGTGTTTCCCACCTTTACACTATCTGTTTTTGAGCTTTCAAATATTGAATTTCATAGTATTTTTAGTGGCTAAAAACTTATTTTGAGATCCAAATTTGGAGGGGTTAACCTTCCCTCCTTGTGTCTTGTTTGCATGCCTAAATAGCTCTACATGTTAGCATGTTTTTCTAGCTTAACTTAGCTCAAGTCTAGTATGTTTTAGTCTCTGAAATAACATGTTTTAGCTTTGTTTTGGGCTGGTTAGTTCGTTTGAGTCTTGTTTTGCATAGTTGTAGTGTAGCCCCTTTCACTAGCTTAGTATTTTAAGGCTTTAACCATCATTGGTGTGAGTTGATTGCATGTTTTAGTACTTTTTCTACTTCATTTCAACGCTTATAATCTCTTCAATCTCCCTCATTTCTTCACATTTTGGTTTTGCTTTGAAAGTGGTTTCAAACCACTTGTTTGCCTAAGTGTGAAATGGAGGTTTTTTAATCCCTTAGGGGGCTCATTACCAACAGTGTAATCCCTTTTTCATGCCCAAAGCAACTTGGGGTTTGAGCGCTTCTTCCATTAGAGGACACTCACTGATGGACTTAATGGATTAATGAATGATTTGGTAATTAAAATGAGTCAACAAAATTGGCAAGTAAAAGAGGCAAGATAAGCATTCTTTGTGTTGCATTGCATGTGTTCAAATTGGACGTTTGTTTGAACACAAGGAAAATGAGATATTTCATACTCAAAAGTGATGAAATGTGCCACTTTCCTTGGTCTCCATTGCCCTTGATCATGCATGATAGGGTGATGGTCTCTTTGGTCTCATTTTGCATTTATTGAACTTGCGCAATTGGTTTTATAAGCCATCATGCAATGAAATTACTTGATTGATAGTTTGTGAACCAAAGTTTGTCCCTCCTTTGATTTTCCTATGAAAATGAGAGGCAAAGTGTGCAAACAACTCTTGAGAAACACACTGTTTTGCTCTGTTTTGCTCTCTGTTGCAACAAGAAAGTTCAAACCAGCAATGGCTGACAGCCACCACCAGTGGCCGACCAGCCACCAATAATAGCCGATCAGCCACCATTGGTAGCCAACCGGCCCCCTGTCGACCACCAATGAAATTTTCACAATGTGTTGGTAAGGTGGAGTAAAGGTGTTCTAGAAGTGAGCAGCTTTGTTGGTGTTCATATGTGCAAACAGAGGCATTCAGCAGCAAGGCAGTGGCTTTTTGGGTGAAAAATTGAGCATGCATGCCTCTCTCGCTTCCCGAGATTAGCTAATTAGTTTAATTAGCATTAGATCAAGTACATGTTATAATTAATTAGTTGTAGCTAATTAAGTGTTGTAAATAATTAACTAGTTTAACTAGTTATTCGATTTCGGTTTGTAATAATTAGTTAACTAGAATAGTTAATTAGTTTCAGTTTGTAATAATTAGTTAGCTTAATTAGCGTATCTAGTTGGTTAGCTTACTCATTCGGCCTCCTTTGTGAGAGTGTAATGTTGTAATAAGTGTGCATGCGTGTGTGTATGTTTTCCAACCCCACGTCTTTTCTTGCTTTTATTTAATCGCTTTTGATGGTTAGATTAGGGACATGTTTTAATTAGC